GCGAAATAGGCGTTGTTTTCGCATATAGGTACCAATATTATACCGGGTGATCAAAAAGTAGTGCGGACAGTTTGAATTTTCCGTAAAACTAAACATGTATAACGTTGGTAACATACCAAAAGTCATTTATGTAAAAGCAGTGGTGGATCAATTTAATCACTAATACATAAATAAACTACCTTCTAAACATGTTTGCCAATTCCTTAAGTAAAAAACATTAAAAACTTAAAGCGTCCAATTTAAACTGTCTGCACTTCTTTTTGATCACCCGATATAATAAACTTTGAAACATTGAAACATAAAACTTTGACACTTCGCACATTTTGAATCTTTAAAACTTTGAAACTTTGAAGCTTTGAAACGTTGAACATTTAAACTTTACTTTGAAACTTTGAAACCTTGAAGCTTTGAAACGTTGAAAAGTTAAAATATTGAATCTTTGATACTATGAGGCTTAGAAACTTTGAAACTTTGCCGCTTTGAATCTTGGAAGCCTTGAAACTTTGAAGTTTTGTAACTTTGAAACGTTGAAAAGTTAAAACTTTGAAACTTTGACATTTGAAGCTTTGAAACTTTGAAACGTATGTACATGTGGTCTTATTTCTTCACTTCCTTAACACTGGGTACATCATGCTTACAGAATGAAAAGTAATTTATTTGATACATTTGCTAAAAATATGTTGAAGAAATAATATTAATACCAAATGAATAACTCGTTGACACCGTCTACAATACAAGAAATCCCACTGCTGCTCTTCCAAGAAAAAACACGTTGCGTGTATTGAATTCAGGAATTCATTATCAAATTTTCCGTTTTGAAAAGTAAACTTAATTTACTTTTACCGTGAAGGTTTCCAGAAATTATTAGAATCTGTTCACCTTTTAAAATGAAGGAATAGTTTGGAAGTGGCGGAACATCTGCAATATTACCTACAATTTAAATTGAGCAGTAGAACATTAGTAGCCATTAGTCACGCAATAATAGTCTATTGTGATAAAGAGTGTTAAGTACTATTCTGTCCATTATATCCAGAAAGGTTTGTAAACGATATCTACACTTATAGGGGTGAATCTGGAAACTCCCATAAGTTATAAATCGACCCTTCCCTTTGCTATTTAATAGGTATAAACTCTTGGGGCTACGTGTGATCACAATATTACCGCACATATACGTAGATGGAGACATCTTTATATTTCTAAACGACACGGCATTAAGCATTTTTTGCGACGAAAGCATTTTTATTACCGAATTTGATACCTTCGTAATCCGAAGACGTCGGTGGCTACTAAGAGTATTTGTAGCGATCCGGCTATACGCTTGTAGGTGAAGTCCTATCAATTACAAACAGTTTAAGAGCACAATTGGTAATCCCGTGTTTGTTGACAGCCTACAGCTACCTGAAAGGACCCCACACGCAGAACTTATTTTCTTTTCAACCAAAAACCAGTAGCACAAATAAATTTATGAATGTAATAATATACTCTTGCGTCTTTTATTTACTTTTGCTCTGTTCCGAAATGCTCTTCTACATTGGGCTGCCCTTAAAAAATGCAGTGCGCGTCTTAAGAAAAAAAAGAAACAAAATCGAAGGTACTGTCGACTAGCTTATCTATACTTACTTAAGCTTTTTTAACGGATGAAAGGGCTGCGAAAAGGTTTCGCGATACAATTTAAGAGATAATCCTTTTCTTTGTAAAATGCTTAAAAAAGACCAACTCGTTACAAGCATAGCTTGCTATCAAAAGACAGCGGCAACGACAAGAAAGATCAAATTTTGTGTTCAGAAGATGGAATTGGGTTCTGCTCTTACGTTATTTTATCCTTATTAGTTTAAGACTACATCCATGTTACCATTACATAATATGTAGGTAAGTGTTCTACCCAGCAATATTTCTTCATAATTCCTATAATTTCTGAATAATTCCCAATAATTCCTGAGTCTACTGGCCATACCTAAATATTATATTGTTTAAATTTATATTATTGCTGCATTATCTAAACGTAACCGCTTAGAAGTGAATGGAAATAATTTTCCTTAAATAAGTCCCGTGGATTTTATTATTTAATTTGAGGTAATTAAACCTTTTTTTACCTTAGTTGTTTAATCTATCGCTTGTTGCCTGGTGTATGTTATCTAGCCCTGAGTGCCTATATATTTAATGATTGATGTCGAATTTGTTTCATTTGTAAATGGTTAGTTTTCTTTTAAATCAAGCCCAAATTCCGCTTCAGGAGATAACAGATTTATGTAAATTTTTCTATTTCGTAAGCCAGAATTACATGAGGTGTTAAGTATTAGTTAATTATTTGGACTTTTTGACGCGGTCAAGGCTGTCGAATTTCTCAAATTAATAAAATTTACGTCCCTATCGAGGTTTTTCTGGAACGTGGTAACTTGTAACTTTTATCACATGTGCCGTATGTTCCTACTGTACAAATGTTCCTTTTCTCATACTTCTGCTGATTAATTCACGTCTTCGTTTTTCTTAAAAATGCCGCTGATACTTCCCTCGGGGCTCTGCTACCACTTTATGGAGATGATATTTGGTTCTCGGTATAATCCTCGTTCTTCCAGGTTTTGCCTCGAAGAAGATTTGCTTGGAAATCTACGGCTTGGTTTGTCGGAGACTGCTCGCGGGATCACTTAACTTCTCGCACGAATTCACTTATAGTTATATCCCCTCTCTCATTATCTATTGTAATTACGTTTGGCTTATCTTACTTCGACGAAGCGTTTATAAACTCTTTTACCAGCGTTTGTCAATTCGACTGCGGTACTGAACAGACGTATTTAACGACCCTTCTTGCGGTTATTTAACGACAATGACTCACACTGCATTATTTCATTCCGAATATACATACGTAAAGCAGTATTCATGATACTATTCTATTTACATGCCAAATAAACTTGCATTTCTAACCGCGATTATTACTTTATATTGCTAATTCCTTTTTAGATTTTTTAGTTAAATAATATACTACCAACCTGGGGTGAATGAAACAGATATTTCCTTGCAATGCAAAAACACATACAGGGTGACAATTTGAAAACTTACCACCCCCCATATCTTAGTAAATAAACGAGATATTTAAAAAAATCAAATCCGTTTCGGTTGAATTCGGAGGGGCATCACAATGACATAGTTGGCGACGCACCCTCCAAACCCCCTCGCCCCCAGCCACCCCAACTTTTAAATCTTAAATAGTGACCCCCCATGTGTGATACGTCGTTGGAAAGCTCTGAAAAAATGCAAAAATCCAACCGTACCAAATAGCATTACATTTAGGTTAGTAATTATCGTGCAAATCAAAAAATAAACTAATATGATACATTTGAAATCTGTCGTATTTAAAACGCAACCGGCGAACATTAGACGAACTAAGACAGAGAATAATTCAAGAATGTCAAAATATTGCAAAACCAACATAGGAAAGGTTCGACAAGAGTTTGAGAATAGATTATAACTGGCGATCAAAAATGAGTTGCTGTCGAGTCGGCTTTGGAAGTTCAAGTTAAATACGATTTTCCATGTTTATTTTTTGATTTGCACGAGAATTACTAACCTAAATGTAATGCTATTTGGTATGGTTGGAAAGCATTTTTTCAGAGCTTTCCAACGACGTATCACACATGGGGGGTCACTATTTAAGATTTAAAAGTTTGGGTGGCTGGGGCGCAGGGGGTTGGAGGGGGTGCGTCGCCAACTATGTCATTGTGATTCCCCCTCCGAATTACCGAAACGGATTTTGATTTTTTTAAATCTCTCGTTTATTTACTAAGATATGGGGGGTGGTAAGTTTTCAAATTGTCACCCTGTATATTCGCTTTCACAATATCTTCCGTGCAGACGGAAATACGGATACACTACATGTAATCATGTAATCATTTATGTGCAAAATTTGTTTTTGTAAAAACGTGTCCCGTTAAATGGCCAATAACAAACATTTCATTACAAAGTGGATAAAGTGAAATAAACAATTGCTCTTTGCAAAACGGAAGAATATCTTGGATTTTGCATTTTTGTAGTCGGATGTAGGTACTTTAGATGCTATAATCATACACAGGGTGTAGCAATTAAGTATGTCAAAGGCGATTGAATGATAAATGGGGTCAAAGCAATCAATTTGTTCAAATAACCTGAATGTAACTTGTGGAAGACAATACAAAATGTACTCTATCCCTGAAACACTTCATGAAGTACTTGTGGACCTATGTTTATTAAGACTTTTTTGTTTCTTTCTACGAGTACTATACCTACGCATATAAAATACCCGACTTTTTTTAAACACCCTGTATATGCGTGCCGTACAGAAATAATCTTACATGGCAATATGTTTAATAAATTGATTCACTTATACCCTAAGCTACATGTTTTTTTCCGGGGAAGATCAACAGCTTTTAGTAAAGGCTAACATATCGCATACTGTAAAAATCAGACGTGCGCGTGTACAAACTGCGTAATGCGAATAATATAGGCATTTCTTTTGATATTTTAATCACAGATGCTTCTAGTAAAGGAAAATGTACCATGCGCATACTCCGCAATGTCAACTGCCTCACTTATAGAGATATATTTTTTGAAATCTGAACCACAAGTGAACATATCGCATATTGTACACACCATGTCTGCGCATGCGTTCACCGTAGAAGTTTCAGATGGCCTATGACATCGAGATTTTTAAAAAATGTATGTGAGGGTGTGCGGGTCTGTGTAACGCTTTCTTGTTTTGGTTTTGGTGACAATCAAAAAACACTTTTCCGAGTTTGCGCGAGTTTTCCGAGCACCTTGTTACAGGGCACAAGTTCTAATTAGTAATGCATTTTATTTCTATTTAATTAAGAAATGTTCATTTAAAACCTGTAATTTAGCAAAACCCATATACCTATGGATATTTGTAAATGTATAGTGGTTAAGTTGGTAGAGCAGCCTTGGCTAAAACTCCGCCGACTTAAAAATAAAGTTCAAAACTAAAATAAATAAATATATAAACACACAAACTGACTTAATATTTTTTAATACATAAGTAGGTAGGCACTAGAAATGATACACAAAAAGGATCGGTACAAAATCTAAATTATTTCTTGCCGTTATCAATCATATTTAAAGGCAGTCCCATCATGGAGTTGCTTAATTCTGAATTACGTTTACCTGGGTATCCATAGAGACGACGATTGGCAAGAGGTAGATGTTTAAGTTGGTTTAGATAGTCGTTTTTGAGTAAGTGGTACGCCACCCAGTTACCGTCGTGAGTCATGTACTGTTAACAAACGAAAATTTGACTTATATATCGCGTTAATAATTTCGTGGTGTAGACCTACCTCATTTTCATCATCCAAAGGAGCTGCAATCACTATTCCGCACAATACCGCAAGTAGAGCGGAGAACGTAGTGAGTCTGAGAATTTCCGTACTGAAATGGTAACCATAAACTTAATTACCGCATGTAAATGTCAATATCACCTTACTTACCTCATTGTTTCTATTGCGAACTAACTCTTCTTGTTAGCCGAGATGTAACTGATAAAAAGTGCTATAGAGTCGTCCTTTTATACGAAATCTGGAGGACAGCATCAAACTTGCTGGGTAATTGGATGTGGCGTTTCCATTTTCATCTTATTTTCTTATTTTAGAAGTGATTTGAATTTATTAATAAAATTGAATGTACATTAAATATCTACTGTCGGGGAAATAAATTGCGGATTCGACAAGATTAAAGTATATAGTTTACTTTTGAGAAGAGAGTTTATTTTGATAATGGCGTCATATACTTCTTGGACAATATCTGAATTTATAAATTAGTTACAAGCAATTGAAATGAAAATGATAAAAAAATTTGTATAGAATTATCATATGATATCGACTCGGACCCAAATGGGGAATGGTTGCTGAAAGGAAATGAATTCTATTGGTAGAACCGATTAGCAGAAATTCTTGAGATGCATTTTTTGAAAAAGAATACGGAGGGGCGTGCGTGCTTAGAAGGTAGCCGAGGACATTAAGCGCTAAGCCACGAATGCGCTAGTTTCGAAGTGACTATAACCTCCGCCCAGTACTTACCAGTGAGTATTTAAGAGAATTCGAACCATTTAGGTTGTTAACATAATGTTAATTGGACCAAACTTGTGACAATATAGTCTTGAAGTCGAACAAGATACAAATTATTATTATTATTATTTTTTACAAACACCTGTATTTAACGACTGACGATGGAGCAACATTATAGGATTGTTTTTTGGACATCTTGTTGAGATTACTGTTACAGTCTCACTTATACATCTCTTCGGAATTTACCATTCCTTTCCACAAGTACCTTCTTTCGCTGTTCCGTTTCCCAGATATTAAAATTCGAAGTTTTCACCTCACCGACTGATGCATCTCGTTCAGATGAGTGATTTTCTCTTCCGACCCTCCGATGAGGGTTATTTCGTTTGGGAGCTACTATCTCAAAAGTGCCAAATGTATGTTTCTTTTTTAATTTTTTTTTCAAAAGCCATGACACATGCAATGAATTAATTAAAGCGCCACCGATCTCACTTGACTTTGCAACCCATGTGTGATTTTATTCAAAAGAAAAAGGCCTTAAAATCCCTGGGCCCATCACAGGTCAATCGTCTCCCTTGTCCCATCCTCCTGTATTGTAAAGAAAAAACTTTCAAAGGCACGGGCCGAATCCAAAACACAATGATACCTACCACTCCGACGAGCCCAAACCGTCCCAAGATACGAGAAACCTTGCTCAGAAACTGCAAATCTACTGTAAAAACATCAGGACCGTCCTCGAGATACCTCATCGCTCTCCGTAATCAGTAGTGGTACTTTTCGCAAGGAACATCCCAAACCGGTTTCCCTAACAAAGAAGGTTGAAGCACAAGTTTCAGACTTTGATGTAAGAGAGGCCGTTAGGATTCTCAGTTCTCCCGACAACTTTGGTCCCGTTGATCCCTCGACATTGCAAGCGCTGCAGGCCAAACAAGGAGCTCCTTCCCGAACGCTCGTGTTTCCTCATTCTGCTGGATACAAAAATACAAAAGGGGAACAACCCCTTTCTATAATCCGTCTCACCTTTACTTTACAGTATAGGAAATATAGGCCAATGCAATCCTTATAAATATATCATAAAATTCGGGAAGTTGATGAGATGGGTACAGGGTCGAAGGAGGAAAGCGAGGTCTATGCCTACGCTCTAAATCTGCTATCTGCCGCAGTTTCGACTGAAAAACGTAATCCTGTTTTTCCTCGTTCCCGTGGGACTTCCGGGAATTGTTTCGCTAAATCAGTGACCTTCACGGGCATACGTCCAACCATTTCCCAAAGCTTCATCGTACTCGGATGTACGGTTTAGGAAGCCATGAGACACATACAAAAAGAAAAAATTGCACTCGAAAATGCCAACTTAGAAATGCACGGTACAGACTGTGATTGACTCGACTCTCGTTAAATTCGCGATTCAGATTACCAGTAAGACCTCTGGTGGCAGCACATTGTAATTACTACTGATGGTATAAGATCGCTTTTTTGTTTATTTACAATGGCCTGAAATATAAAAAATAGACGACATTTACTATAGGAAAACTCGACTACTAGGTACCGGGTGACCCAATAAGACTGTTCCTCGGCCATATCTCGGGAACCGTTCGTCGTATGACTTAGGGGTAAAAACATTATTGGGTAAATCGGTTATGAAGAATCGCTGGAAAATGTTTTCAAGTTCTAAAAATGACCACCAGAGGGCGCAACTGCCATCTTAAATTTTAATATTGCATTTTCTTAAAATTTCGCATAATAGACTAAACATTCTTTTTTCACATTTTTAAAGAGAACCAGTTTATCTATCATTTTCGTTAAAACAAAAACTCGGTTATTTCAAAAACAAAGATGGTGTGGGCGTCCAATTGTTTTTGCAATAACCCGCTTTAACTTCTTAACCGTTTGACCGATTGTAACAAATTTGGTATCGTTGAAAAGAGCATTCCTTGGGCAACAAGAATCAACCAAAATATAATTAACTTAGTTGAATCCTTCTCCACCAAGGTAGCATATTAAATGCTTCTTGATTAGAAATCGCCATTTTAGAAAAGATTACAAATTCAAAAAACTGCACTTTCTGAATGTAAACACAGCAGAATAATTTACAAATTACGGCTGTTATTATTTTATAATGCATCGTGTTTCATTTATTTAATTTTCCAAGGCCTACCTAAAAGTGTAGGGTGCTTTTCTTTCGCGCCATCGACAAATACCGGAAATACGTAAAAAGTAAATTTAAGATACAAGTTAAGCATTTTTATTAACTAATTAATTTATCTCATTTTTCCAATGTTTGAGGTTAGAAACGTGATTTTGAAAAACGGTTTTCGCTGCCCAAGGAATGCTCTTTTCAATCATATACCAAATTTGTTAAAATCGATCAAACGGTTAAGAAGTTAAAGGCAGGTTATTGCAAAAACAATTGAACGCCCCACACCATCTTTGTTTTTGAAATAACTGAGTTTTTGTTTTTACGAAAATGATAGATAAACTGGTTCTCTTTAAAAATTTAATATGGCAGTTACGCCCTCTGGTGGTCATTTTTAGAACTTGAAAATATTTTCCAGCGATTCTTCATGACCGATTTACCCAATAATTTTTTTTACCCCTAAGTCATATGACGAACGGTTCTCGAGATATGGCCGAGGAACAGTCTTATTGGGTTACCCGGTACATAAGCCCTAAATGGACTGTTATTTTAATATTCATATCGAAAGCTCCTAAATACTACGCAATCATGTCAATGACTTCTTTGGAAATAGTAGCAAATCTAGGTCCTTGTAGTGGTAAATTCGTTCAATGAGAAGGTTACTCTTCTAACAAACTTTCGATGTGTGCTCATTGGGGTAATACTTAATCTTTTGTGACATTCAATCTATTTCTCGAATAAAACAAGGCAATATGTCAACGCAGATTCGATTATATTCACTTCTAGACATTGCCGAAATAAGTAAAAGAAGTAAACAGAAAAATTAAGTGTCAAATATGATATTCATCTTATGAATGTGATTATGCGGCCAGTATAAAAAGGGCGACGTTCGAACCTTTTTTATCAGTTTGCTCAACAACCTTCTTGTATAAAGTAGCGCTGTAGAACGTGCCAGAATGTTTACCACTTTATTTCTCGTGCTTTGCGGAATAGTCATGGCAACCTCATTGGATGATGAAAACGAGGTAAGTGTAATTTTGGCCTATTGGATTACACCAAGTTTGAGCACTACAGTGTTAATGATAGCAACATGTCTGTTATCAGTTCATGGCGCACGATGGAAACTGGTTGGCGTACCACCTGCTCAAAAACGACTACCTAAACCAACTTAAGCACTTACCTCTCATCAACCACCGCCTCTATGGATATCCAGGTAAACGGAATTCAGAGTTGAGTACCTCAATGATGGGTTTGCCTTTGACTATGATTGACAATGGAAAAAAATAGTTCAGTAGCTACAAATGTGAAACTGTAACTAGTACCATTGTATTTTTCGTTTATAAATACAATGCTAGTACGTATTAAAACTAACTGGTCGATGTGTGTGTTTTTATTCATATACAGTGATATTCATTTAGAAGTAGACCTAGGGATTTCCTAGTCTAGTTTAAACAAGGACCCTGACCGGATCGGAAAAGAACCGAAAACCGGTATTTTTTCCCCGAACCGAAACCGTTATTCCTTCAGAAATTGGAAACTTATTGAGAACCGGAAACCTCATTATTTTTCTGTTCTTTCCGGTTTTTTAAGTTAAATACATATTTCCCTCTTCCTCCATAATTCTTTCTTGTCGTTGTAAATTAGCTACACTGACCATACGTCACGTTTTGGTATTCATTGACTTTTACTTCTTTTTCACATCTATTAATAACAAATCCACGTTGTTATAAATGAATTTTTCGTACTTCCGGGACTAAAGTAAGAACTTCACTCCATTATGACAAGTACTGAAGTGTCACTTTTTGTCCCGCCGGGATTAAATTTAGACGAAAATCCCGGAAGGATGAAATTACTAACAAGGCAATTTCAGTAGGTTGTTCCACATTTTGTATGCGGCACTACTTCTTAAACGCATCGTACTGCTGCTCATATAGTTTTTTGGATTTCGGTGGTATCAATTCTATACCTAGTTTGTCTGCTTTTTATCAATATCAAATACACTTTTGTCACCCACCACCAAAATTATGACACTAGCAATGACAGTTTCCAAATTATTTTTGTTACCATAGCATAGGAATTGTCATACCAACGCAACGTTCCTATGGTAACTTGTTAAGCAGCGATTTTTTTAAAGAACGCGTTCTCTAACTCCATACATATTAAGTGTTTCGGTTTCGGAAGTACGAAAAATATCGTATATACCTTGCGACTGAAGTAGTTGTCTTAATCCCTCAGGTAAATTATGGCCCTCCCTTCGGTCGGGCCATAAACTTTACCTTCGGGATTAAAAGTACTACTTCAGTCCTGCGGTATATAATATACTATTTTTGAATGCC